TTGTAGCTGCGAGCTATAACTTATATGACCAGTTATTATGGTAACTTCTCACTACGAAAATATGTGGTCGGCTGACACTCCTGCAATTACAAATTATAGCCGGTGTAGCTGTTGAATGACACTCTTATAACTACCAACTATAGTCAATGTGGTCAGTTACTACGACAAATTCCTACTAGGGCCTTTATGGTTGATTACCACTGTTACAACCACCGATTATAGCTTATGTGGGTAGTTACTACGACAACTTCCCACTTCAGCTTTTATGACCAACTGATGCCCTTGTCGTAGTTAATTTCGGCCTATGTGGCCAATTTCTACTCCAAACTTTCACTACGAACTTTGTGGCAAACTAATGCTCTTGCAGCTACTAACTATGGTATATGTGGTTAACTAACGCTCATATAACTATTAACTATGACCTATGTGGCCAATTACTGCTACAACTTTCCAATACAACTTTTGTGACCCACACCTTTACATCCATCAACCACGACCTATGTGACAAGTTATTACTGCAACTTCCAAACTCTATGGACAAATGAATATATTAAAGCCACTAATTACACACATTGTGGAAAACTACTAATGTTGTTATTTTCAACTAAGATCTTTGTGACCAACTATTATTATTACAGTTGAAAATTACATATATTGTAGCTCAATTATGACTATTATTGTTGAAATACAATTATACGTCCATGATTATCAATTCAACAATTATAGTTTTTCTAATTTATGAGAAGTGTGGACCTATATACTTACAACCACATAATGGGTTACTTTCACCATGCTAGGCACCGTGGCTTTTTTCTTTTATAGGATTTTTTCATAAAAAAAAAATTGGGTGTCTCCTCTTGCTATATTTTATTAAATATGTGTGTTGGATCTTCGTACAATGCTAAGATATTAGATTATCACTCTACCGCATTGAATCTTTCAACACACAATAGTTTGACACCATTTATGGGAAACGAAGTCTTGTTTATAGAAGTTAACACTTCTTTAGTAGCTAAAAAGTACACTACACAAACTTCTCGTTCTAACACTTTCCATTCAATGACACAATCTCGTTGTTTGGGACACCAAGCATGCTCCTTATTTTCTAATTATATACATTACCCAACCGACGAAATAATGAAGAAATCTCAACATGAGATTCTATAAATTTTATGTGAGGCTTAACAACAACTGGTTGTGCATGCTAAAGCATCACGACCATCTCAAAATCCATCGATTAGAGGACACAGTTAGCACTCCCTCCATACACTGAATTTTCTCCCTAGGAAGCTAACCCTCACAACTAAATATCTTTTTTTATTTTGACTGCAACCATATTTCTAATAAAAAGTATGGCCTATCTTAATCAGTTCCAAGGGACTCAATTCAACCTTTTTCAAAATAGGTTACGACATCGAGGAAAGCCTCTTACTAAACAATCTAAGATAAGTAAAAAAATCCTTAGTTAAATTTCTTCGGTGTCTTCCATAACAAGCTACGTTCATCGGGCAATTCCTATGCTCTAACTAAACAAACTCAAATAAGTAAAAAAATTTCGGTGGATTTTATTTGACCTCTTCCAATAATAAATGTGTTGATTGAACCGACTGAAAGTATTTCCATAACTAGGATGTCCCACAAAACCAGCTCTACAAGACTAACTTCATAAATACAATAATTGAATCAATTATCTTACTAGAGATTGGAGGGATTCCACCCACCTTATCTCTAGTATTTATAATACTGTTGAAATTTCCCACTACAATCTAAGGTTTTGAGATAGAAATAGCCAAAGAAGAGAGGACTCTTCCCACAACTTTGCTTCTCATAGCATAATTATCATCATAAACAAATGTAATAAGAAAATTCAAAGAAGAGGAGAAGAAATGAAACCACGAATGTATTGTGACTGAATGTCCATAACATAAAAACCAATTACAGTAAGGTTTCATTTATGTTCATTTTTGGGACATTAGTAAAAAATAAAATAGCTGCTAACAAAGAGAATGAGCAAAAAAATCATTCGTTAAGATTTTTTATATAAAATATTATAAAAATTAGGGGTGTAAATGAGCCGAACACGAGCGAGCTCAGTTTCAGCTCCTTTATATTTCGAGCTCAAAAAGGGTGTTCGTGTTGGACTCGTTTGCCTAGCGAGCCGAACATGAGTCTTTCACGAACAAAGAGTCATTTTGACAACCCTAATCACGTTATCATCAGATGTTAAAGACTGAGACAAAATTTAAAACATCATTTGAATCTGATTTAATAATTTTTATTCTATTTTCTTCATTAATACTTTTAATTGATTATAAATTTTTATAGTCTTGTAGTCAATTAAATTTTTAAAAAAGACTACTTATCAAAAATATATATATAATTGATTAGTAGTATTTCGAGCCAAAACGGGCCAAACACGAACGAACAAATATTGTTCGTGATATTCGTATACGGCTTGTTAACTCAACGAACGAGTCAAACACAAACTTCTTAAAGAGTCGAATACGAACTGTTCGCGAACAACGATCCATTTTGACAGCCCTTATAAAAATATCTAATAGTTAAATAGTCTAAATTTAAATGTCATATATTAAATTGATAGAAATATTATTACAGTATTATATTATGTTATTTAAATCATCATAAAATAAATGTAATATTTATTATGCGACTAGTTTCAATCCAAAAAATGGTTTAAAATGTGCACCCTCTCCTCCGTCACTATGCCATTTTTCTCTTGTTTTCTTGCTAGAACGCTGATTCCTTGCCCTCCTTCGCTGCATTGTTCCGTGTTTCTCCCAACCGTCTCTGCTAAAACGAGGGTTTTGGCTTCGATCGTCTTCGCCCCATAGGTCAGCCCTTTCACTCCTCTCACAATCGCTTATCTATTGTGTTGCGCTATTAACTAGTCATTTGCTGGATCTGTACGTTTTCCTGTTCTTCTTCGGGATTGATACAGATCCAGCATTTAATTGATGCATACAATGAGCCCGATTTTTTTTAAACGTAGCAATCGGGAAATTTGCTGTCTCAGATGCTGATTCAGTTTGATTAATTAAAAGGAAGCTTTGATTTAATATGCTGTTGATGTCTTAAATCTGTTGGTTTCGGCTTGATGTATGTATGGTTTATGAGAACATTTTGTGAACAGATAAAACCCAGTGCATCGGGGTATAAGGATCCTATGATAGTGGAGGATCTATTAATTTGAATTTCTGCCACGCTTATATTCCTACGGGAGGAATAAAGGACCTCTAAATTCCTAGGGATTGATGGCTTTGATTGATCTGAGAGCGTCGGATGCCCTGTTTTTTCTCTTAAATGAGAGATGAGATGTTGATGAATATCCGGTCAATTTATCAGCAGTTTAATGTCAGTAGCATGAATGTTTTGTTAGAGTTGGAATTTAACGGATTCTGTTCCGTTTTCTTTTTATTTTACAACTATTGATGGCCAGATTTAGATTCTTAAAGTTCCTTCTTCGTCCATGTTGTGCCCGCTCCACTTTATCCATGCATTTTTAGTAAAGGTTGGATCTTTTAACTTTTGACCAATACCTTGAAACATTATCGAAGATATTGTTAGTGGTGGAAGAATTCTTTATTGTATCTTTAATTTATGAGTAATATAGAGCATCAACAACTAATTGATTTGATAAATTAAAAGAATATATATATATATATATATATA